TTCAGCTCCCTGGATCCGTAGTGCACGGGCATCTGCTTGCCGCGACCCAAATCATCCACATTGCCGTAGCACTGATCGATGAACTGGTCGATGCGGAAGCCGCGCCATACCAGAACACCCGCCTCGCGGTATTGTCCATAGATGAGATCCCGCATCTCCAGGGCGGCGGCACTGCCAATGTGGGACGCCTCCTCGCCAAAATTGGTCATGTAGAAGGAGATCCTGCCCTGGCGCTGGGACTCGTAGAGGATCTTGTCCATGGTGTTAAGCAGCACCATGTCGCGGAACATTTTCTCCACCACCTCGCGGCTCAGCTGGGGATCCTGAGACTCATCCGCTATATAGCCATCACTATCCATCACTCGGTAAATGGGAATTGGAGCATAGTCCTCTGGGTGAATTAACTTTAATTCGCTAACGAAAGGAGCTTTGGCACCTGGAAAATTGGCGTAATCACTCGGAGGCACCGAGCTGAATTCCCGCGCAGCTGTGGGGATCGCACCTCTGATCTGTCGGTGGTAGATTCAAACATATAATAACAAACCCAGATGGTAACTCCAAGTACTTACCACTTTAAGGGGCTGTCGGCGCGCCACGGCACTTAATAAATGCACCGATTTTCGCAGGAATGACATGATATATAATTTGTATCTAAACTATTAACTGCAACAGGTACGTAAATTCCAAAGATTCAGATTCAGCTGCGTGTTTCCAGCTGATTACGCAATAGAATGGATGTTGATACCATATCGATATACTTTTAATGATCGATGGTTTACCTATTGCGATCGAGATCTTTTTATAAATGTATTTTGTTTTTATAATAAATTTATAAGTATGTTTTTAATATTTTTAAATGTAAAAATAGAAAGTCTCCAACAAATTATGTGTGTAATCGAAAGAGTTACAAATTGCTGTTAGAAACTATCATTAACTAACAAATTGACTCCGACTCAACGTTATTAAATAATAAACATGATATACTCCTATATTGATTTGAAAACATTTTATATTTTCCTCTCATGATTTAAAATACGCGCTTCTCAAATATCGATAGGAAAACCCCCGATGTATACTTTATTTTCCTGACTTCGTAGCGTCACCTTCCATTTTGGACGCCATGGCAGCAATAGAAGAAGCGCAATTTTGGCAGGCGATTGGAATACTGATCCAAAACTACCATGCCTTGAACAAAAAGATATTCGAGTTGGTCATTACCCAAGTGGAGAAGCGGCAGGATGGACGACTGAGTGACTCCAGCGAAGAGGAACTGGAGAAGACTCTGAAGGAAGACCCAGGCAAGCGCACGTGCACTGGTTTCCAGATTGGATTCAAACTGCTGCCCAAGAAGCTGCCAGAGAACATCTTGGGCACCGGGACTATAGGTGAGATAGACCCTGTATTACTTATTCTATAAGAAACTTATAAACCTCCCACTTGCAGACTTTGTAAAGTGCCTGTACGAGTGCCAGTTTGCCAGCGACGCTATACAAGACTTCTCAGTGCGCCTTCTCGAAGGACAGCTTCTATTGGAGTCCGAACAGAACCCCAACTGGTCGGAGTTTGTTCTTAAACCAAAGCTCCTTAGCTGGTCCCAGGCCAAGCAGGATGAAGCAAAAGTTAAATCACTGGGCTTGGTAAACGTGGAAACGTACAATGATATGTACAAGGAGTTAAAACGAAAGCACGCCCAGGGTCTGATTGACCTTTGGAAAACCGCCCAAGAGTCCACGGATCCGTTGAAGTTTATCTACGAGGATTTGGCCATCGCCGCCTATCTCATTGCTTTATGGCGTTCAACCGGAACAGTGCCCACGGCTTTCGCAGACTTGGGTTGCGGGAACGGTCTCCTGGTGCATGTCCTCAACGCCGAAGGCTTTAAGGGCTACGGCTACGATATAAGGAAGCGAAAGCTATGGTCTCTCTATCCGCCGGACACTCAACAGAGCCTTATCGAGAAGACAGTGGAGCCCAACAACTTCCGCATTGATTTTCCGGACGTGAATTGGTTAATTGGCAATCATTCGGATGAACTGTCGCCCTGGATTCCGGTTTTGGCTGGTCGTTTGAACATGTGCTATTTTCTGATACCCTGCTGTCCTTATGAACTTTCGGGAGCCAAGTTTCGCAGACGAAATTCGAAAGTAAGTGCCTACCAGGACTTCTTTAAATATGTCAAAAAGGTCTCCCAAAAATGCGGGTTTCCCCTGGTCATGCAAGACCGCCTCAAAATTCCAAGCACCAAGCGATTGGCTCTGATAGGAATCAAAAGAAGACCAACAGTAGCTATTGAGGACATGGATTACTTTGTCCAGGAGGAGTTAAGGAAGTACAAAACAGGAGAGGCCGAAATTAAGCTACGCCAAAAGCAGGAAAGTGTTCGCAACTGCACACAGGTGGACAAATCCATTATCGATGCTCTGGTGCTGAAGATCTTCAAACAACTCCTGGCTGCCAATGAAGATAAGTGGTCAGGTCGTCTGCCCATGCGAGAGATCGCCCAGAGCCTCACCAAAGAAGAACTGAGTGGCATCAAGTCCGAGTGCGGCGGCATCAAAACGTTGCTGAGAAATAAACACGAAGTATTTGAGTTTTGCGGCGGCGATCTTATAGGAATAAGAACTCCCAAGCCAATGTCCAATGGTCCTCTTCTCCGATCCCGTGTGACCACCAAAAAGCGTATCTGCTTCTTTAAGCTCCATCATCCGCTGGGATGTCCTCTTGAAGATGCAGAGTGCTCCTTTATACATTAACCTTACTTATTATGAGTGTGGCCCTTGCTCACGTTTATTGTTTGGATTATAATATAAAGAGAAGTGCATAATTCGGGTGTCAAATCGTACAATCTAGGAATCGAGCAGTGTCATCATTTAGCGAGAGCTGTCACTGCTGTTGCTGCGACGTCGGCGGCGGATGGGCGAGCGGGAGCGGCGACGCGGTGAACGCCGGTTCCTCATGGGCGACTGACGACGTCCACCGCCGCCACCTCCGCCGCGGTTGTTGAACCGATTGAACTGGGGAGGGGATCGCCAGCGGTTATTCTGCGGACGGCGCATGGGAGGCGAGGGACGACGCATGGGCGGCCGCTGCTTGGGTATGACAACCGGCGACACAGTGATCTCCTGGCCATCGATCTGCCCGCCATCCATGTGCTTCATGGCAGACTCACAGTCCTCGGCGGTGGCGTATTCCACAAAAGCCACGCCGCGTCCGAAATTCGGATGATAACGATCTACTGGGAACTCCACGTTCTTCACATCTCCAAAGCTGCTGAAGATCTCGAACACATGGTCCTTGGTCACATTGCGGGTGAGCCGACCGACATGTATGCGCACCGGCTTGGGCGTGGGCGAACGGGTGCGGGTGCGCGACCGGGAGCGTTCCCTTCGCTTCGGTGGCGGCGTTCTGTCCACCGAGCCACGTCCACGACGACGTGGTGACCGTGAGCGGCTGGCAGAGCGGGAACGCTCACGCTTTACATTATTGCTTTCGACGGCGGGCCTGTCGTTGGATCCAGCACGGCGGGCACGATCCCGGGAGCGACTACGGCGCTCGCGATCCCGCTCCGGCTCTTTTCGCGACTTGCTGCCAGGTCTGGGGGATTTAGAGACGCGCCTGGGCGAACGGGTGCGTGAACGGGATCGAGCGCTGGGCTTGTCTTTGTCTTTGTCCTTGCCGGCAGCTCCGCCACCACGTCGTCGGTTCTTCTCGCTGCGATCCGAGTCGCTGGACGAGGAAGATGATGAGCTCGAGGAGTCGCTGGAGCTGCTTGAGCTGGAGCGCGATGATCCGGAACTGCTGCGCGAGGAGCTGCTGTCCGATGAGCTGGAAGATGCAACATTATGTATAATTTTTTTGCATAGCAGTGTGATAAGTTTGTAGATGAAAGGGTAATACTTATGAACTTTTTTGAACATTTTATAAATTTTTTCCCATTGTTCTGACCTACTATAGCTGCCTTAAAGGGCAAATATGTAACGTCAGATATGTAAAATATATTAAGGAACATTCATCGGTAACGAAATAAATTGGGTACAATGGACTTTCACATAACTTAAAAGACGTACTTTAAATGAAATTAAGGCGGGTAACTGGGACTTTCCCCGGGAAAAACACGATTCTGTTGTGACAAATTCCTAAATTCCAAAATTTTTTGTACCTAAGACCATTTTTCCATACAAAGTAGGACGCATTTTCAGAAGTAACCCTTATTCAAAGTGACAGATGTGGCGAACGAACCCCGTTGCCGGCTGCTTTACCTGCTTCTGGAGTCGCTGCTGGAGGACGCCGATCCGCGGCGTTTGCGTTCGCGGTCCCTGCGGGATGAGCTGCTGGCCGCCTTGCCGTCCTTCTCCTTGGTGTCCTTCTCCTTGTTGTCCTTTTCCTTCTCACCCTCGCCGGCGGGACTCTGGGCACGCGCCCTGTTTTCGTGCCGAGAAAAGCGAAATGTTTCAACCGCTCAGGGGGTAAAATGGCCGCAAGTACTTACATTTTCGTATTGCCTAATAAGTTGACGATTAGTTGTATATGTCAGCCAACTCTTCAAATAGCTGGCTTTTATGTTTTTATTAATAAATCCCTTTTTTCAACACGAATTAAATCCAAGTAGCGTTTTCGTTAGAGGTGGATATCGATTAGGATGTGGAAAATAATATATCGCTATTTTCTAAATAAATATTTTTCCCAGATTCTGTTATCGCTTTTTTTGCGACCCTGTCGCGTAAGGTTCAAAAACGTAAGTGGCAGCAAACGTAAGAGCCACGTAAGTGTCGATAAAAGAGGGAGATAACTTAAAAAAGGGACCTTGGTGCTGAAATTAATAGTTAATAAATGTAAGCTAAACATTTCAGTACCGAAATATCCGTATCATCGATTTTTGGCAGGGCATCGTCGATGTTTTTATTCGATAAGCACGATAACACTTATCGACACCTACTCGATACAGCTAGTATATAAATACTAGAAATCCCAGCGAAAACGCTGAAATCCCCCAAACCTTATAACGTTTATCGATACACACATCCAAGGTAAACTCCCATAAAGCGTAAAAACCAAAAGATACTTTTCCTGCCCAGCAACCGTACGCAAAACCAAGTACTTCTATCTACCGTGTAACATGAATAGTGCTTGTTTTCGTAACGTACGTATGTAGTGGAATTACATAAAACGCAATTGTTTTTAAGGCCAGCACTTTTTTTATCTGCTGGTGACGACGAAGTGGTTGTCATTGTGAGTTCCCGTCCGTGGTGTGCGTCTGTACGTGTGTGAACTTGTGTTGATTTTGTCCGTGCGGGGGAGCGAGACAGCTATTGGTGGGGGGCGGGGGTCAGCACAGCCACAGAGTTTCGATTTTCCATCCATATATCTACACTCGCAGCGAAAAACGAGAGCGAGCAGGCAAGAGAGAGAGGAGCGCCCCGTCTGGTGTGGTTCATTTTGGTTTTATCTTTGTCTGCCGCGAGTCGGGAGCTCCGCGTCTGGTGTGTAGTATTATTATTATTATTCTGATTATTCCGATTACTCTGCATATAATTCAATACTCCGCTCCGCCCTTCCAATATTATGCAAAAAAAACCCGTGTCTGAGTGTGTGTGTGAAGTGCAGTTATGTTGGGGCAGCAGCCAATGCAAATTAACCCGTGTCTATACCACAAAGGCACAGTTTTTAGCCCCATCATCGTGTTTTGAAACGCCAAAGAGCAGCGTAATTGCCAAAAAGCAGCCAGCCAACAAGCGTTTCGTTGGTATACATATTCACATATTCATATAATCAATGTGTTCAAAGAAAACGAAACGAAAGGAAAAGAAAAAAGAGCATTCGATGAAGTTGACTGCCATGACTACGCAATAGCAACAACAAGAGGGGCACCCACACTCACACACAGGCACTCAGCTAGGTGGGTCCTCTCTCGCCTCTCAGTGCCGCTCTCGGCTCTCTCTGGGTTTCTTTGTGCTCCACACGGATACGGATGTACGTGTGTGTGTTGGGGTCCGGACTCCATGGGAAAAGCGAATATTTTGATGTCTGCTTGCTTGTGTGTATATGCGTATATTTTTTATAATTTATTGTTTTAATTTTGAGAGTGTGGTGGGGGGTGGAGTGTGACCCCAACTCGAACACCGACCCTGCCCAAGTATGAATAGTAGCCGTTGCTTTATAGCCTTTCGATCGGAGTTTGCAGCTTGGAGCCGCCTCCCTGGGCAGTACACACACACAGTTGTGGTCAAAATAATAGCTAAACTACGGAAATGTAGTCTTTTTTTGGTACCATGTTGAAGGGGGGCCTCTTTTATAGATATGTTATCGCCCCCATTTAGCCATTTAATCTATGTTTAGAAATGCACTTATCTTATCTGTATAATAACATTTACCACAAATACCCTAATCAAACAGGGCGTTTGTGCTGTGACAAATCCAGTACAAATATCTAGAGGTTTTAGAACACTTTATAAGGCGTAGAAGGGTATGCTACTGAAGTGAGAAGTTGGACTTTGGATGTTCAAAATATTTCGTAGCATACCTCTACAGTCCTTAGGAAGTATAAAAAAGTTCATTTTTCTCATAAATAAAGATATTTTTGAAATAGATTTGTTATTTTTATAAATTTTTAATCGAAAATTTTATAAAACTGTTTTACTAAACTCCCTTTCTTAAGTATCACTAACTTTACTCTTAGAAGACATTTTTCCCCACTTCAACAAAAGCAAGTAACCAACATTTTGCAGAGACTACAAGCCAAAAGATAGTTTTCAGCACTATTATTTTAACTGCAACTGTATATTGGAACCACAATTACAACCATTATCGTTATGATAGTCAAGCATTTGTATATTGTACTGCCTGCCTATTTTTACGTCTAATTTGCATTACATTGGCATTAATACTCATTGGCCGCTATTAAAACCGGGCTTTATATATATATCTAGACCTATATTTCAATATTATCCCACATAAACATACATTTATTGCTAACCAAACTAAACCAACCCAAGTAATTAGTTTCTCAACTGAATGTAATAGCAATGTTTTCTTTTACTTTTATTTTCTTTGTTTTAGCATACATACAATATTTTATTGCTGGTTTTGGTGGTAAATTTGCATTGTTAACGGCCGCGGCCAGACGTGCCCCGCTTCTTTAACACACACGTCTCTCAAACGAATACCGATCATCAAGTGTTTCCCCTATTGACTCTCGTATAATAGCCACATGTAAAAATCAAAAATAAAACCAACAACAAATAGCGATACTGATACCGAAAGCAACTAAACCGAAACCGAGTGTATACTAAATACATGCCCGTCTCTACCACTTAAGACCGCCATCTGCCCTTTGCGTTGCCGTGCCGTGCCGTGCCGTGCCATCCGTTGACACTTTTGTATCTGGCTGTATCCGTGTATCTGTATCTCAATCTCATTGACCAACTACCGCAAGCGCAAATGCAAATGTAATCTGCAAAATGCAAACTGCAAAATGCAATCTGCACACACCCGAATCTCAGCTGAGCTCAACTCTTAAACGTTTAATCCTCGAACTGCCTACGAAACCAATCAACCTATGTATCAGCCAACCTGAAACAAATCAACCAAGCAACCTATCAACGGTCTACCGCAACTGGCAAACCAAAACGGCTTTAGTTTGTAAGCTTTGTTTTTTTGTAAACCTACTACTACTACCTGTTAAACATACTATCGAAGACTGATAACCGAAAAGAAAGTACAAAGTACGATTTAGACTTGTTGTAATTATTTGTATTTGTCCTTTGTTCTCCTAATGGTTCCAATACGATCGATCTAACCCATCCATTTATGCTATATACTATATACGACAACACGACTTTGTCACACTGTTTGTTTTACTTTGCACATGTTCGTTTTCTACTTTACGCCTAGTATTTATATTACCTACTTATAGAGCACACACACCCAACACCCAAAACACGGCCCATGTACGTTAAGTGTAACCCTCTTTATCTGTCGCTCTCTTGATCTGGAATCTTTCGATTGTACTAACTGCCCGCCGGGCGATAAGTGATAAGTTTTGTAATCAGTCATCCGCCCCTCAACCTCGATCCATCCACATCCATCCGAAACCAGAAACCGAAACCTTAAACAGAAACCCAAACCCAAAAAAAACAGAACCACTAATATTGTTTTTGTTTAGTTGACACATTCATGTAAAACACACACACACACACATCTAGAGATAAATATGTATGTATATATGCGAGGGGCGGCTTAACGATGGGTTATCGTGTCTAACAACTCAAACTGGAAACGCTGGAAGTGTAAAATTTATCGTTACCACTTATCATTGGCGGACGGAGTCGGCGGAGTTAGCTCACATATACACATACATATATACTACCTATGTACCCGTAACTGTTAACTTTATATACATATTTATATATCGTATCCGTATCTGTATCGGCAGCTTTTCCACATACCCCCAATACATGAATTTATATACATTTATATCGTATATCGTACTTATACCTATAGTTGAAAGACTAACCACGCACGTATCTCATCTCAGTTCCATATAATTGACAACCTATTAAAGCTACACTGTTTAAAACAAACTGAAAAATTGTTGCTGTTTTATTTATTACGATTACAATAAATATTTACATATATATCCACACATAAACACACCCACACGTATATATACATCTCAATATATACACATATATAAATATTTTATTATCCTTGCCTAAGTAAGTATTTTGCCTACTAGAGAAACCATAAATGTTTTGTTATTGAGCATGTTGGCTTGTTGGTTGTTTGCTTTCTGTTCTGGAGCGCGGGTCCGGCTTAGAGTACTTCTTCCTAAATAAATAATAAAAAAACAAACACAAAAATGTAATAATAAAAATACCACAAATCAAACACCATATACATCTAGTGCATACAAACCTTTTCCGTTTTCGATTATAATCTGAAGTGGTGGCAAAGGAATTGAACGGAATTTTGTTTTTTTGAAATAAGTACGAAATTGATAAGGGTTCTAAGATTATTTTGAGAGACTGGCTAATACGTTTTGGTGGGGAAAAATGTACAAAATGGTTTACACATTGTTAAAAAGAGTTCTGATTTGATTTACCATTTCCTGAAGAATTCGCGAAAGTAAAGTAAATTTAGTTTCTGGAAAAATTACAGTGGGATTAGTATTGAAAGTAATAAATGAAATAATACATTTTTTGAGTCTCTTAAATAAAAGAAAACTTTAAAAACTTTTGTTTCACGGGCATTCATTTGTATTTTTTCAAAACGTTAAAACTGATCAGTTTTCGATAGCCCCAAATGTATTCAGATTGCAAACGGAACGGGGCTGCCTAGTTAAGTGTACAAGCGGTCACTTTATAAGCAAATCGTCTCGTTTTTACTCCCGCCCCGCAGCTGTGTGATTAAAAGATTAGCCCAAAGAAAGCTCTCGCCCAGTCGAAAGTCGAATAGCAACATCAGCGCAGTAGCAACAGCAGCAGCGGCAGCAGCAGCAGCAACAACACCTGCAACAGCAGCAGCAGCATGCTCAACTCGAATGCCAGCAGTGGCAACTTGGGCAACGGCAACGGCAACAACAACAACAATCATGGGGGCAGCAGCCGTCGACCCTTTTCCCGCAACTCCTCGTCGAACCGCTCGCATCGCGGCGGTGGGGGCGGACTGGGAGGTCGTATGCTCTACTCGCCACACCCACATCCGCACGCCCACGTCCAGCAGCAGCAGCAACAACAACAGCAACAGGGGCAGCAGCGGTCCGGCAACAACAACAACAATAGCCTTTTACCTGGCCACAGTCCCTGGTGCAACGTCAATTTGAACGGCGGCAACAGCAACAACAACAACAACGGTGGCAACATCAACAACAACAGCAACAACAACAACAATGTCAATAACAAAGATGCAAACCCAAATTGGTAAGAGCCGAGAGCCGCTTGCGTTTTAGAACCATTTCCACCTACTCACTCGAGATCCTCGGAGATCGAGTTTTATGTTAGCCTTAAGTGACATTGAAAAGAAAAGCGAATTTGAAACGTACCCCCCGTATCCAATCCGAACCGCTCCCGAAAATCCCTCAAATGAAATCCATCCATGATTAACAAGACATATCCTTGTAACCTTCCCCCCACGACTAGAACAGTTTATCTACTTTCTATCTCTATCTCTATTACACCTGAACTGAAAACAACCGAAAATCGCTTTTAGGCTAAAGGGAGAATTTTGTAATTAATGTCGCGTTCAGTAGTGCAACCAAAAACATTTTAATTGGTCCTAACCGTTGAATTTTCGAAGCACTAAACATTTTAAAAAAATCGCTTGCATCGCCAACTTGATGGCGACACATAATGGATATAGTGTTATACCGTTTATACCTCTCGATCATTTGTAACTCTCTTGCGTTCTCTTGCGTACTGTACATTTTTGTGTTTTGTTCCTCGTCGAAATTGGCACCCTTTAACCCACTCAGTTACCATACCAAATATACTAATTACCATTGTAACTATCCCAGCATTTACATTAAATACTACATACATACTCTCGAACATACACCCCCCACATTATACTATCCAAACTCAGTTTTGATTTACTTAATGTTCTATCGTATGTACATTTTCTAACCGCTTTTATTACCATACCCGAAATTTTTGAGCAGTGTGAAGTTCCGTAGAAGATACCGTATTAACCGAATCAGAAACTCTTGATTTCGATTGTAACAACTTAAAGAACGTTCAATGTTTCATAAACTTAAGACCAATCAAACAGTTCCCTAAGAAATTGCATGAAGAGCACTTGAAAATGGCGAACCAAACTCATTACGTAGCAATTTCTCTTTCGTTTCGTAGTCGTTTCTTTGTCCCAAACGCTTCTTCTTCATTTTGAGTAAAGCGCGCCTAACGGACTTAAGTACTTACCAGCATGCTATCTCTCTCTCTCTCTCTCTCTCCTAACCCCACTCTCCGTCTCTCTCTCTGTCTCTCAAGAACATCCCCAAGGACCTACCTTAATCGCCATCCCCCTTCTCTCTACCACTTACTTTATATTGTGGGTAGTTGGCAATTACTACTTTTACCTCTATGGGCTTTTAGACTCTTTAGAGCAGGAATCAGTCGTAGACTTAAGTGAATTCTAATTAATTGGTCAAGGAAAAAGCATCGACGACGGAGTCACGACAAACGACGATTGTAAGCAATTAACAAATGTAAAGCCAGTTGGGTGGGTAAGTGCTTTTCATGCAGCATCGAAACAGGGGATATTTACTATCTAAATGCGAAATGAAAATTCGATTTTTTATCGATTGTCAATTATAGTTCCATTTTAAAAAGTGATCCCTTTTAAATTTTGAAATCGTCCGTTGAGAAAACAACAACACTTTTATTGTTTTTGAGGATTCCTAAAAAGAGTAAATGCTTAAAATTCATAAAATATTTTCATTATACACGTTTTATAATGAAAACCGAACACTTATTTTGTTGTTTATAGCTTATATCAATAAAATATTATAGATTCTGAAATCTTTAGATAGGTAGCTATATTTTTTTTATTAAGAAATCAGTTAGGGTTCCACATGCTCCCGATTTCAAGACCTAACCCCACCCACAACATTTTTATTTATTCTGCCGGTTTCTATAATTTTGATTACCCTTCTTTCGTTATACGCATAGTGTCGCTTCACGTTTTACGCTATCGTTAAATTTATACTAAAACCAAAGCAAAAACCAAGAACAAACATAAATGCGATGATAAATATGTGAAATGCAACCGTGAAAAGTGCAAGCCAAGTATGAATTTAGTTACAAAATTTCCTCTTTATCCAAACCGTACCGTAACTAGTTGTAATTTTTTTCGATTTCGACATTTTATGAATGATGCATTTTAGTTGAGTTTCTTGATTGATAGCTAAGTATATTGACGACTGTTGATTGATGTATTTTGCTTAACTTTGCGTAGGTCGAGGCGATCCGAGTCGAGTTTTGCAAATGATCAACAAACTCAGCTTAATGTTTTACTTATTTATTTGCATTTTGCACACTGCGGCTTAGAATGTTTGACAAACCAACCTCATAGAAATTCCAAAACCAACCAAAAACCAAAAAGATATTTCAATTAAACAATGAAAACCGACAAATTACCGAAATATAGCAGTTAAATCAACTCTTTTTAAATAGCTCGAGCATATCCTTCTCCTTTTGATTTACTCCTCGCTCTCTCTCTCTTTCTATTCTCTTCTAATACTGACTGTTTGTGTGTGTGTGTAACATTAAGCGAGCCACAATAACAACAAGTACAGCATTGTATGGTCATTGTCACACTCTGTTTATCAAGTATTCTACTATGATTTGTCGTCTACCTAATGTACAACTGTGTTTAAAATAATAGTAGTGTCAAAAAAATTTAAGAAAAACGAAAAGTGATTAGTTTAATATTGTCGGTTCTTATAGAGCATCTAGAAATAGTTAAAGCATTTAAGAATTTTGAACCTAAAATTTTTAAAAAATTGTTTAATATGGCTTTCAGAACATTTTTGTAATTTTGAAAACGATAATATTATTTTTATTATTTTGAGCACAGCTGTACTTAGCATAAAGTTGCAATCGCAGCTTTTGCATCTAGTCCGTAAGAGTTGCATACTACTTCCTACGTTACGCAGGCACCGGCTTACGTTACGATTAACTATAACGTTCGGCGCTTAGACACGCCCCTTTTCCCCACTATCTTGCTGTGCGTGTACATAAGTAACTATACATAGGCATAATAACTACTATAAATGGTGTGTGCCCAGCTCGATCACGATCTTTTGGATCTCCGTTCTGTTCCATTTCCGTTTCCGTTCTCACCCCGCTAAAAAAGAAAAAACTGTAATTCGTAAAAGCTTTTTCACAGGCTGAAGAGTTGTTTTTATACCAGTTTATTTACGTTTTCGGTTTACGTTCTCTTTTGTATAGTTTTGGAGCATGACCAGCACTCTCTCTCTATCTCTCTCAAATATATATATACTACGTATCCAATGTATTTCTCTCGTGTTTAGCTAGTGAGAACGGCCTATTACGTTACAGTTGCCTTTTTGCCGTTACGTTAAATTTGAATAGTGTGAAGACCAGTGTGCGATTGGCGTTTCGTTGTTTTGATTTCCGTTTCCATTTCGATTTTTGGTAAGCGTAGTGTGCATAAAAACAAAGCGAGCAACAAATAAATAAATAAAATGGCAAACTAACCAAATTTCCACCTAAAATGCATTCAAAACAAAAGAGCAGAACTAAAAAAAAAGGAAATAGAAAAATCTGCAAACGATGTGAAACTAATTAGTACGTACGTATTTGTTTTATACTAAATGTGTGTACATATCGATATTATATATATATATATCTATATTAAACTAATATCTAATTATTGCATTTTGCCATTTACATATATATTATTTTTATCTTTTTCGTTTTTCTTTCTTCTTCATATAAAACCAAAAAAAAAACCGAAAACTACTGCAAAATAAAAAAAAACTATATAAATAACGTATGTGTGTGGCTACCACTCTGCATATATACACCACTACTACTACTACCTACTACCTGTACATGTAATATGCATACAAATAACTATATATGGGTTGTGTTTAATACTACCACACACTGCTACTGCATTGATTTGATTGAACAATTTTCAACTGTATCTCGTACAACCGAATATTATACTCTCTATATATACGTATATATGTATTACATATTATCTAAAACAAACTGCAACTGCAATCCTCAAAATCGAAAATCCAGCGATGTACAAACAAGTAATTCTAGCGGAACTTGTATTTATAACAATAGCAAAGCGCATCATCATCACAACAACAGCAACAACAATGGTCACACTCAGAGCCACAGTCACACTAATCACCCCCATGCCCATTCCCCACACCCACACCAAAGTCACCACCACCACCAGCAGCCCCAAATGCACACCCATCACCACCCGCATTCGAGTCCACCCCAGCAGAATAACAGTTACCGCCACAGTTACCCACCGCATTCCCCGAACTCCCCACCACACAGCAACGGTCATACCAACAGCAACACTAGCAATCCGAGTAGTCAGCGTCCTCCTCAGCAGCCTTATGGTAGTAGTACTAGTCCCCATGCCAATCCGAACCCAGGTTCCTATCCCAGTTACTACGAGATGTGTCCGGGAAGTGGTGGATCTGGCACACAGACCCACACCTATGGATCCATGTCCGTGTCCCTGGTGAGACTGAATGCCGCCCGTTTGTGCCTAACGCTAGGTCCTGCCACGCCTCCACCCGCCCAGCGAGTAGTGTCCTTCAGTCCCCGCTCCCACTCCAATTCCAGCTCCAACTCCCAATCCAGTTCCAATTCTCGAAGCTCCAGTGATCGTGATCAGTATCATTATAACCCACCGCCATTTGGTCAGAACCATCATCCCAGTCCACATCAGTACCAGTACCAGTACCATCCGCAACACCAGTACCATCCATTGCATAACCCACAGCAACAGACTAATCGCCAATCCCTCCCGCTAACACGAACGAATTCAAATTCAAGCAACGCAACAACTTTCAATTCAACCAATCCAACAACAAATAGTAATCCTACTGATGTTGTGAATGTAAATTCTTGTACCGATATAATTCCTCATGGGTCTTCTTCGTCTGCGTCTACGTCGTCGATGCTGCCCCAACAACAACATCAAATTAATAACGCATCCGCACCCATCAATAGCCACAGCCAGGGACAGGGACCCGGCAACTCGCCCAATCTTGGCCACAATCACCAACGTGGCTACAACAACAACAATGGAAACAACGGGAACAACATCCGTGGTATCGGGAATGGAATCGGTAATGGTAATGCCAACGGACCACCCGACTATATGAACTACCGACGTGGCCTATGTCCGGCCTTATCGCGGGACTACCCTGGGGGAAATGGCAATGGACACGGCCACAATGGTCGTCGCTATATGTCCGATCATCCGAACAACCCCTCCTCATCCATGAACGGCCTCCTCAACTCCGGACACCACCAGCGCAACTACAACGATAGGAACTTGAACAACGTAAGCAGATCAACTGTGTATTATGTTTAGAGGAAAGTAGGCGTTCCGAAAAAAGTAGTCTAGTTAGGAATCTTGTTCCTAGACACTACACCTTTGATAACTCATTTCCACTCATATACTAAAATTCATATCCATCGTAAAAATATTTTGGTCGCCAGAATCGTTTCTATTGGGGTCTTAAATTCTTTCGTAGTCCTTTGCCAAGAAGTATTCAATTATTTAACAATACTGGATAGTAAACACGGTTCGTAATCCCCCGTAATCTTCCCCAGCACTTTGGAAACTCTGACCAAGGCGGTCCAGACCATCGGGATCGAGCTGAGGGCTCTTCATACAACTTTATGCGTAACGGAGGTAGCGGAGGAGGCTATGGTCGCAATGGATCGCACTACCAGCACATGGCCTATGGAAACAACAATGGTGCCTCTACATCCTCGGGCGGTGGTCCGGGGCTGATGGGAGAACTTCCCTCGGGATCGGGCCTGTCGGGCTCCTCGCTGTCGCTGAACAATGGACCCGGAGGACCCAATGGCCTCAACTCGGACAGTCCGTCGCGCAAGCGTCGTCGCATCTCGGGAAGACCCCAGAACGGGTCGCAGCCCCAGCACCGCTGCCTGATGACCCACGTGAGTGATCCTTTACTTCCCTTAAACAGCTCCCCAGTTCACCGGCAATCCTTTCCAGATGCAGCAGGGAAGTCCGCCGCTTCGACGTCCGCGTTTGCGTGATGTGGCCACCTCCACGCAGCAGCAGCAACAGCAGCAATATGGCCAGCAGGTTCACCATCCCCAGCAGCAGCAACAGCAGCAGCCGCCTTCTAACTACCACCCGATGCACCACCATCAACCCCAGCCCCACTATGTCCCCCAGCAACAGGTGCCACCGCCGCATGTCCAGCGTTCTCCGTGGGATTTGGGCGGAGGAAGTGGAGGAAGCACCGGTGGAGCAACCTCGAGCAGCTCGGTGGGTCCCATTTTGCAGCAGGTGCAGGCACCGCCGCAGCCACCGAGTCACCAGCAAGCGGTGGGCTATCCGCCTGCACCACCGCAGCCCACCTCCCTGATGGTGGACCTCAATCTGAACCAGGTGCCCGTTAGCCTGCAGCTGCGTCCCTCGGAGCCCTTCTGGGCCTCCTTCTGCACGTATCCCATACCGGCGCAGGCTAGACTGGCACCCTGCCACCTGCATGGTGTCTACACGCAGCCCTTCCCCACCGCCCCGCCTCCTGGACTGGCTGCTCCGCCGCTCCAGCAACAACATCAGCCACTCATACAGGGTGAGTATCATGTCGATCGAGATCAGTTTTCCAACAGAAGATCACGTCTAGTTTGTCCATTAGCCCAGCAAATGATAGCCCAGGCCACGTTGACCGCCCAGCAGCAGCAGCGGGATGTGGTGGCCATTGCGACGGCCAATCTGGGACCCATCGAAGCACCCGGTGCCCATGGCCATCCGCATGCCCATCCCCATGCTCATCCGCATGCCCACCAGCTGCCGCCGGGCATTCACATCACCCCGTTGAGCGGAGCAGCGGCTGCGGCCGCCACCCATCACCTACATTCCACGGCGGCAGCTGCAGCAGCCGTCGCCGCCCAGGCCAGCGCCCAGATGTCCGCCGGCCCGCAGCAGATCATCATCTCGTCGGACCGCCGCACATTCCCGCCCCACCGCCGCATCCCGCGCTTCTGGCCGGCGAACCATGGCCACCGGCATGTCCTGCCGCCCCAGTCGCTGGCCGCCCACCAGGCTCCGGTGCAGATCCAGGCCACTTCGGGCATCATCAACCCCGGCTTCTTGCTGAACTTCCTGTGAGTTTACTAGGATGCACTGCTGCTTGGGCATCATGTGAAGCTCTCATCTCTTTGCAGTGCCATGTTCCCGCTGTCGCCGTACAACCAACATGACCTGAGCTCCGGGGACACCAATGAGACGGAGAACTACGAGGCACTGCTCAGCCTGGCCGAGCGTTTGGGCGAGGCCAAGCCAAGGGGACTCACCCGCAACGAGATCGATCAGTTGCCCAGCTACAAGTTTAATCCGGAGGTGCACAATGGTGAGTGGAAACAAGGTGGAATTGGGATCTTGCTAGAAACTTGGGCTAGCCAACTTAATTATTAATTTAAAAAACTACACTTTTCGGTGAAAGGCTTATCTATATGTTCATATCCTTAAATATTACTCATACGACCAGTGGTCCAAAATGATTTTGATCTCAAACCCACAGGAATGCTGTTCAGTAATATTTCTATTTTTCCGTTTAGGGCTTAAATAATATCCTTAATTTACTTACAATTCACTTGCAACGTCTACATTGCGTATACTTAATATTGTTTCAAACGTGCCCAAAAAAGTATGCTATATGTTTGTTAGTTTTGACTAAATTCCGTTTATGTATTTAGCTTGTTAAAGTTAAATGCAATTGGGTCAAAAGTTTAATAATAGTACGACTTTTATACATATGTTATTTTTAAAAAGGAGATTTTAGAAAGTATTCTTAATTTACCTTATATTTAATAGTTCGATTTAATTACTGACCCTATACATTTTTCTCCAGGCGATCAATCATCCTGTGTGGTGTGCATGTGTGACTTTGAACTGCGCCAGTTGCTGCGCGTCCTGCCCTGCTCCCACGAATTTCATGCCAAGTGCGTGGATAAATGGCTGCGGGTAAGTACAATAAAATACCTAAATAAATGCAGTTAATAATATAATCTTTTCCCCCAACAGTCGAATCGCACCTGCCCGATTTGCCGGGGCAACGCATCCGACTACTTCGATGGGCCGATCAGCAGCAACAGGCGCAGGCACAGGCGGCATCCGGAGCAGCGGCCGCCTGAGTGGCACTTCCGGAGGAAATGGCGGAGTGGCGGGCACTTCCGCGGCAGCGTCCACCACCGCCAATCCCCAGCAGAGCCAAGCGGCCTAAACCTTCGATCGTCGTATTCCACCACCACACTACACCTCCAGCTTTGGCTTTTCCGGGCGGTGAGTGGGCGAGGTGGAGGAGTTTTTTCGCGGTTGGAAGGATGGGCCAGCGGCGGGGGAGCCGCCACCCATCGTCCACCACCCACGCCACCACTTGATGTAACGCGCAACGAATCCAACTGCCAAAACCGTCGACGCTTCCCCCTCAGCTGTAAGCCCCTGCCCACATCCGCCCCTCGGCCACGCCCTCGCGCAACTTGACGCCCCTTCAATAGCTTGTCGTAGACATTAGTTGTATGTGAGTAATGGTAACCGTAATTAGGAGTAACCCATATATGCATACCACCAAGAATTCAACTATAGTTAAACAACATATATAAATATTATATATATTCGTGTGTATAGAGAAAGATATAAAGCCGTAAGACAAGTGTCTGTATATAAGCCAAGATTTGCACAAAATTCATAATAGATTTCCTTTGCCTTTCACACTCTCGAGGACATCCTATAATCCATTAATTCAACTATATACGAACAAACATGGGTTATTCGAAATGCTTGGCAGCGGTGAGTCAAAGTTCTGATAGATGGGGGCATTCAGGAATTATTAATCCCCATGGCAGGTGTTGTGTAGGACTTTGGGGACCGTTGCCAAATCAAAATGGTTTATCTTAAATTGTTGCTGTCCACACGCATACATGAATAACTCTATATTATAAAGAATACATATTTAAGCAAAGCGGAATATTTGTAACTTGGATTTGTGTTTTCTGCTTTTGAGTTAGGCTTGCGTATCTACTGCTTCCTCTACATATTTTGTATTTACTACCATTACTTTTAGTTTTTTTAACAACGTACTATATTTATCCTTATACGACATACATAGAAACCAGCATAAATATAGTGCATTGCATTTTATACTAATTGTACGAACTGAACCCACTGAAGAAGTTCTTCTTCTTGCACTAGCAAAAAAAAAACAAAGAAATTGATATCTTTAAAGAGGAAAATAGATCGTATATATATTTTTTTCGTTTCTACTGTTTGAAAATTAGTAACTATAAACGGAAGCAACTAACCTTGAAACATATAAGCAATCTTTGAAATCGACTAAACCAGATGAGCGGAGGAGGATAAGCGTTTCAGCAAATATACTAAATATATAGATGCATACACACACTAACAGGAGGGAAACCAACCGTATAAGAATTTAAAGTACAGGCATAGAACATATATATGCATATTGGTGGGCTTATTAATGTATTTGTAGTAGACGTGTGCGTAATTAATGAAAAACAAAGGCAATCGCTATGAGATCACAAATATCGTAATATCGTAACTAGACTTTTCCAGGGCCAGCGTGCGTGGGTGGTGACCTCAGCCGCCCATCGACCAGTCCATCCACTTCCGTAGTATTTTGCCTTTTGAACTGTAACGTCTGTAGCTCTAAACACAAGCATTAACATACATACACACCTTAACCTCCTTCAATGTGACTTGTCTATTAAAATTGCATCAGATGCGATATTACGAGTATCATATATATACACACACACCCAGATATATAGAGAGTTTCCTTCTGATATAAGCGATTCAAGCGAACTACGTGCACTAGCCTTTAAAGCCGGAGAACGACAGCTAACAATTTTTACCAATATACATGTACAAGTACGAGTACCATACAATAATTATCTATATCTATCTATCTATCGATCGATCGGTATACACATAACCAATTAACGTGGAACTAAACCAAACGAGAAATGAGAAGAACAAGTAAATTGAAATGATTCCTGCCCTCCATTCGTATTAAAAACCATTGAAACTAACTCAACAACTTTTTATAGCATATATATACTATGGATAGCATTGATTTTTTGTGAGAATGGATATACATAACATTAGTTTAGCCTCTTCGGGAAGGCCTTAAGCCGTATCTATTGGGTCATCCGTTGCTTATAGCGAGAGTTTGCAGCACTTTTCCTACCCCGAGCCCCTGTGTCCCAGCTCCCCCGTTCTCAAACCCTTAATAAAGCTATGCATTACTGAAATCTTGATACCTAGTATATGTGTAAATCGTGTGTGTATTTATTATATCCGGTAGTCGCGCGTTCAAGGATATACTGTATTCGTCTATTCGAGGATATGATATGATATGAAGATATGTCCGTTCGTCTGTATCAGATACTCAAATAAGTTCTAGCTAAGAACTCTTTCGCGTTTTTAATCTCAAAGCAACATCTACAGTTTGATAAATGTTTTCTTATTCAACAAGTTTCCAAATCTGAAAAAGTTGTAGAATGCTTTGGATGTTTTGTACGCAACCAAGCAAACGCCTTAAGGTATGCAAGCTATTTTTGAACAAGACATTGTTACCGGGTATCACCTAATCGGAACTCTCGATTATAGCGTTCTTTCTTGTTTTTAATCTATATGAATGGTATTTCCAAAAGACCATTGTAAAGGTGTTGTGCTTTTCTAGAATTTTATTAGTAGGAACATCAACTGAATGATAAACGAAAACCCAAATAAAGTTTATTTTTTGTCACAATAACAGAACGTTATGATAAAAGCAAATAACTATATATAGAATATATTATATACATGAATTGAATACCTTTTATACGTGCACTGACATAATTACTTACGAGTATATGTAAAAATTTCAATCAACCAAACTAAGCAGAAAGGAAACTTTAATCAATTTTTACTTTTGATCCGGTTTCGATACTTTTACGCTATTTAGTTTGTTCTTTACCTCTCCGTCTATCCTGAACTAACGCACTAATACTAGGTGTTTCCATCGAATAGTTTTTTTCCAACTCTCTTCGGGTTTTTTATTTTCCAGACAATTAACAAAAATCAAAAGCTTATCATAAAAATATATTTATAGTAACAAAACGAAAAAAAAAACAAAAAACACAAACAAAAAAATTATAAAGTTTTGCTGTGATGTACGTTATATATATTTAATTACATAAAATGCAATAAAATTTAAAACATATAATGCATAATTCCAAATTATTACAACAAAACAAAAAAAGAAAAAAGAAGAATGATTATGAAATACAAAAACATTTTATGCATGAGAATTTCTCCAAAACAAAAAAGTAAAAACCAATATGTACGACATACTATAACATCTACACTTGTCTAGAATTTATGCAATTTTAAATGTGACTATTATTTTACATTTTTGTAGGCAAGAACCGAGACACTCTTCTAGTAATTGTAAATCAGTTAACCATAGTATTAAACAAACGTTTTTCAGTGGCATTGTAACGGTGAGCGGGCGTTTTTAATGTTAATTGCAATAATTTCAATTTTCGGTTTTGTATTAACTCGCAAAATTTCAATAAAATTCAATGAACGTCAATAAAATTGTGAGATGTGTTTATTTGTGTTTTTGGGGGCTATTCAAATCAAAAGGATGTATATAAGTAAGTATAATTTTATAATATCTAATTAACCTGTTCCACGCAGTGGAATATAAATAGTCTAGGAATTCCAAAGCAATTAGAATTTTTATTCCCAAACCAGTTCTAAAAATCAAAATGCTCGTACAGGAAGTGACACAACCAACATACGTATAAATATGTTTATATGTATGTATGAAACGCATTTAAAGTTATTAAGTCTATTAATAATGATACATCGAATTAACATTGAAATTAAGTAAATAGATCAGAAAAGGCATAGTTTCTGCAGATATTTAGATGATACGTATACACTTTGGACTACAAAGTAACTTTCTGAGACTTTAAAGTCTGGGAAAGGATCCCCTTGAGATGCATATGACAGCGGTCCAAACTCCAAACCTGATTAAGCGTGGAAACTTTCAAGTGGGAATCGAAACGATCGCATGATTCGGACATTTGAATCAATTAAATTGAATTGGTGTCTTTCACGCCCGAAAACCGCGCTCGATATGTCTTTAACCAACTTTACGATGGCTTTCCAGCGTTTTGGCAAACATTAGATGGCCGCATGGGCTGCAATCCCGGTTGTCACAGCATATGGCTGTGATTGGCTTTACCAAAATTCCACATGACTTTGTTTCAACAGATTTGCGGCAGAAAGAGTTAACAACAACAGATGTTCGAGGCAAAAAGCGAAAAAAAGGTAAACGAGTTGCCAACTAGGGACTAAGCTAAGGCCAACGAAAGAGACGGAGCGAGTGTGGGAGCAAGAGAGAGGCGACGGCAGGGGCGGACATAGAATAACCTTTTGGGGGGAATCTTCTCTGAGAAAGCGGAATCTTTAATATTCTTAAATAAACTATTTTAACTGATTTTTTAAGAAATAAAGTTACATAATTTGGGGAGCAGGGGGCTACCCATGACTCCCCCTTTGCTACGTCCCTGGTCACAGGTCACCGAAGAGCAAAAGAGAGAGGTAGAGCGCGGGAGACTCGGAGAGCAACTTGTTTATTTGCCACCCACAACTGGCTGCTGGAGCAAGAAGAAGAAGATCACTTCTGCTGGCATTGGCAGAGCCTTTTTGCAGTTATTTTTCAGACTTTATTTTTTTAAGCGCATATTTTTGCTGTATTTGATTTTGATTTGTTTTGGTTTGGTTTGGCTGTTGCCTTTGCTGTCGCTTTTGCCCCACTGACGTCACTTGGCGGTTGAGGTTTCAGTGATATTGCTGTTGCCTTAGCCATTGTTGTTATATTCGTTGTTGTTTCTGTTGCCCACCACGACACTTTCTACAAGAAAATGTTGAGAAATCAAAAAAGATGCGACAGCTTCTTCTCTATGGGAAGCACTGACAAAAATGATGGTTCATTTTGAAAATAGTTCGGTAGGGTAAATTTAACACTATTGTCAATAGTATTAGAACTATCTGATAAAATAAATAAAAATGTTGATGTAATAAATATTCATAATATGTAGCCTCCAACCGTATCGGTGAAATTAATACGTACTTATAAAGAAAAATTTGTTTTATAATTTTAGCGTAGGTTTTCCCTTATCAGTGAAATATTTGCATCACAATTTCTCGAGAATCGCCAATTTATCGAGTTCACATAAAGAACTCGAATAATGTCAGATCGAAAATCCAAAATTGTTATCCCACTTTTACATACATACATATGTATCACATTCCAAAAATG